TTTTTTTTTTTTTTTTCTTAGTTTTTTGAGACAGTGTTTCTCTGTGTAGCCCTGGCTGTACTGGAAGTCACTCTGTAGACCAGGCTGGCCTCGAACTCTCGAACTCAGAAATCCGCCTGCCTCTGCCTCCCAAGTGCTGGGATTAAAGGCGTGCGCCACCACTGCCCGGCTCCTGAGCCATTTTCCTATCCCTTAGAAAAAAATTTTTTCTGAAACATTTTATAGCTTAGGCTAGCCTGAAGCTCCCAATGTAGCAGGTTAGCTTCAAACTCTTGCTTCAGCTTCCTGGGTGCTAGAATTATAAGCTTGCACTACCACACTAAGCAACACCCTCAACATATTGGGTGGTCTGGCTGAAGAAGAGGAGTAGCTGGAGAAGAGGAGTAGCTGGAGAAGAGGAGCACAAAAAAGCCAACAGTCTCAGTAACGTGAAAACCTCTGGAGCCATTGAATAAATAAAGCATCCTGGCCTTGGAGTAAGATTCGGAAAGAAACAGGGTTTGGGGAGCTGGAGAGAGAGCTTGTGGTTAAGAGGACTTGTTGCTCTTTTCAGTTCCCAGCACCAATATGGTGGCTCATAACTCCACTTCCAAGGGATAAGATCCCTCTTCTGACTTCAAAATGCAACAGACACACACGTACATATACATGCAGGCAAACCACACATTTTTTAAAAAAATCTTTTAAAAGGAACAGGGTTTTATACTCAAGGTAGAGTGAATGTTCCTGACAAAAAGAGGGTAATGAAAAGTGCCAAGAGCTCAGACCCCAAAAATCCAGAAACAGTAAAATAATTTAGAGGTCCAGAGTCCTTTCTTTTCCAGAGGGAAGCTGAGTCTTTCCCTCTCCTGGGTGGAACATTTTCCTCTGGAGGCTTACCTGACTCCTCTTCCATAAGCTCCAGGTGTGAGAAAAGAAAGTCTACACACTCACACACATAACTGCAAACTAGTTCCTAAATTGAAATTTCTTCTTTCAAACGCTGGAGAGTCTAGATGGCTCAGTGGTTAAGAGTACTGACTGCTCTTCCAAAGGTCTTGGGTTCAATTCCCAGGTCCCATATGGCAGCTCATAACTGTCAGTAACTCCAGTTTCAGGAGATCCACCATCCTCTTCTGGCCTCTGAAAGCCCTGCATGCAACAGATGCATAGAAACACATGCAGGCAAAACACCCATACTAGTGAAATAATTAAAAGATTAATTTAAGCTAATTGTGGTGGTGCATCCTGCCTTTAATTCCAGCACTCAGGAGACATAGGCAGGTGAATCTCTGAGTTCGAGGCCAGCCTGGCCTACAGAGCGAGTTCTAGAATAACCAGGGCTACACAGAGAAACTTTATGAAAAAAAAAAAAACCAAACAACTACAACAACCAAACAAACAAAAACTCACCCGGGTTTCTATTTATTTGGGGAAAGAGATACCTGGGCAAAGAAAGCTATAGGTGGTTATACCTTTGGTGTAGGCCCTGGGTTCCAACAGTGTCTCTACCTTCCTGCTAACTCAGAAGTGGAAGGCAAAATTTTCTTGGGGTTCTTTTTTTTTTTTTTTGGAAAAGGATTTATTTGTTTTTATTGTATGTGTATGAGCGTCTTGCTTGTATGTTTGTCTGTGCGCTATATGTGTGCAGAGCTCATGGAGGCCAGAAGAGGGAGACAGAGCCTGTGGAACTGGAGTTAGAGGTGTTTCTAAACTACCACATGGGTGCTGGGCACTGAACCTGGGTCCTCTGAAAGAGCAACTAGGGCTCTTACCTACAAAGCCACATCTCCAGCCCCTGGGGCTTTGCTTTGCTGTTTTTGAGACAGAAACTTGTCATGTGATCTCCAGGCTGGATTAGAATATACTAAGACACCCAACCTGGACTGACCTCCAACTCCTCCTCTGGTCTTTGCTTTCTGAATTGAGATCATGGGTCTACCATTCTACATACCCAGATAGAAGGACAGAGTTCCAACCAATTCTTGAAGTTTCCTTATGCCTGAAGTATGCCTCCGCTCACCATACTCCTGACAATTGAAGAGAGGAAGGGGGATGCTATAATCCTGGAGCCCCAGCACTCGGGAGGCCAGGCCAGGCTGCTGTTCTCTTTGTACTGCCTTTCCCTCGTAAAATAACCTAAGACTTCGGTTTCACTGACTCTATACTTGTGTGTGCACAGAGGAGAGGTGTGGGTGTGTCATTCCTCAGGTTCTGCTTGTTTGTTTGTTTGTTTGTTTGTTTCAGCTAGGGTCTCTCACTGGCTTGGAATTCACCACATAGGTTAGGCCAGCAGAGCCCAGGGATCTATCCATTTCTCTCTTCTCTGCACCGGAATCACAAGGGCTTGCTACCACACCCAGCTGTTATTGTTTATTTGTTTGTTTGTTTGTTTTGCTTTGTCTTCTAGGTAGACCAGGCTGGCCTCAAACTCTCAGATATCTGCTTGTCTCTGCTCCTGAGCCCAGGATTAAAGGTACACACCATGATACCCAGCTGAGACACAGGTTTTCTTGTGGGTTTCCAGGGATGGAACTGAGCACCCCCTGCTAACAAAGCTAGCAGTTTGCTGCCTTAACTCCTTCCCTCAGCCCTCACTGTGCCTTCCGTTCTCGACCTCCATGGAGACTGTGCCATTCTCTCCTCTAACTGGAGGCGGGGGGGGGGGGGGAGGCAGGGTGGTGAGCCTCACACTCTGACGGTAAATACTGGCCTCTGCCCCATTCTCTTCTCTCTTGTTGGCAAAGGAAGGATGAAGGGATAGTGGGAAGATGAAACCAGAAGGTGGAAACAGTTGGAGGATCCAATGCCTGGC